CCTAAATCAAAACAACTAAAGATGCAAACTGTAAGGAATGAAATGCTGACCCTTCACTCAGCTAATGCTCACTGAGCTGCTGTTCCCAGAGTGGGGACATTGGTAGGTCATAGTCAAAAATCTCCATTTCCACAGCCCTTGGAAAGGAGTCATCCAAAAAGCTTAATACCCTCCACCTCCAGAGGAAACTTACTCAAATATAATATTAATTAGAAAGCTCTTTTCCAAACCTGACCCCTTTATCCTGATTAATCCAATGTGAGAAATGCAGCTGGTTTGTTTTTCACACCCAGTCCAACCTTCTCTTTGTTCTTCAGTTTATAAATATGTCAAATGTAATTAAAACTGGCAGAGGCCAGGGTTAAATCAAACAAACTGTAAACATTGCTTGTGCTATTGGGTTGATGCAAAACTTTCACTATAAAAGGCTTTTAAATAAATGAATTCAGCTATTACTGTGCTGCAGCACTGAAACCTTGCTCCAAGTGTTTGAACTTTTCAGGGACACTGTCAGGTCAGCTTAGATTCGAAACCTAGTGCACAGCTGGGATTCTGAAATTGCCTAAGGAAACTAGGTACCTGACTTCTGGAAGTCAGTGTGTGGTGGGAAGTGAACTGTCTTTCAGCAGAAATTAGATGCCTTTGAAAAGCCCATTCATGTCCTTGTAGAGAGGACCATGTACTTCACGGAGATAAAATAATGTAACTCCTTTGACACCCAGCAAAGCATATGATACACAAATTTTACAAAACCTAAGACTAGCCAGAAAAGTCTAAGCACTACCTTTACTTAAATTTGATCATATTTTGTTTAGCACCAAATAATTCCAATGTGCAATAATTATACTGTACAATAATGATCTTATTAAGGTGTGGCATAACTATAAAACTAAATTCCTAGAGATTACTCCATTAAGGACTTTCAGTTTCAGACTACCAGATTGCAACTTGCAGTTCAACCCACTAATTTTAGTTCTACTGCTGACCTATTAAGTGCAGCTTCAGAGCCTCAGTACATCCAAGGTTTTCCCTAAAACATTTTTGCATTCAAAATCCCACACTCATATCTCATTCGCCATCATGCAAATTCATAATAGGCAACAGGGAAACTCAGTACTTTTGAAAGCAGGTTTCTGTCTTGTTGACTGAGATTTTGGTTCTAAGCAACACAGCATTAAAATTTAGAGTGCACGGTTTTTAAAATAGATCCCTGTCAAATAGATACTATTTGACACAATTTCCTTAAATTCCTCATCACTACTTTAAAAAGTAAGGCAAGAAATGCAATATTGTCTGTATTTTTACTGTAACTTATTTTTCACACAGGATGGGCATTTGCCAATCCTATGCTAAATTCTGCTTTTTTTTTGGCACATGTATGTTTCTATCTCATGTTTTCCAACTTTAATAACCTGATGCTACATTATGAACTGAGCTTTTTGGGATTTCTCTGTCCGATGGCTTTAGAAAAAACAACTATAGTAGTACCATTGGACTGGAGTCAGAAATTTCCCTTTCTGACCTTAAAGGTCTTCTTATTTATTGCCAGGTATTTTCTAAGAATTCTACTGGTAGCCTAGGTAAAACTACCTCATTCAACACTGAGCATGGCTGCTAGAGGGAAAACTCAATGACAAAATCAGGGGTCTTTTGGGGACAGGATGACATCATAATACAAGATGGCACAGTCGCAGAATGTACTGGTCCTTCATCTTTGAAATGGCAGTTCACATCTGAATAGAGATGATCAGACAAAATTAGTGCACTTATTCCCTCTTCATCTTCAACGGACATGAAATCAGACCACAAAACCACTGCAGAGCACCTTGCAACTGGCAGGCTCAGATCATGAGGAAGCCAGTGCTTGAGAGAGCAGAAGGTCAGGACTGATCTGTGAAGGCAGAGCTGGAGTACACCAAAGATCTCATACAGTCTTGCCCAGTCTGTTTGATCAAGACTACATACTAGTTCCTTGCTTTCATAACCATAGATATTTTCAGACCTATTGAAAATAGCCAATAAAAAAATTCTTCTGTGGTGATGGGTAACTGAGGCTCAGCATCACAAAAAAAGGAAAGGAGCAACGTAACTGTCTCATGTCTTTGGAGCAGTTGAAACCATCTGAAGACCATCTTAATCATCTGCTACTAGGATATGTCATATTCTAAAAGCTAGATAATCTCTGTTGAATTGACTATACAGATTGTAATATTTTATCTATTTCTATCAGTGTATATACATTTTTCTCTCCTTTGATTTGCTTTCTCACCTGTTTGCTATGAATATTGCTCTGTGTTTAGATTTCCACAATCAACTTTTGAAAGCTAATCAGATACAGAAGGATTTGAGTGAAAATCCTATATGGAAGACAGATTGTTCATTAATGATGACACATAGCTATATAATAAATGAGCTAAAGAAACGTGCATGCTTTGTTTATTTGTCTAAGATGATAATGTGCATTGCCTCAATCATCTGTAAAAGGGAGTAGTGTTGAGCAACTTCTCCCGTCTTCAGTGCTCAGCGAAATCTTACATTTGCAACTTAGGACTTAAAAACTGGTATAAATGGAGAAGTAAGCTCAATTTTTCAAGATTCTGCCTGTCCCGCCCAGCATGAAAGCCCTCCTTAAGCAATGAATGGGTCGAGTCCTAAAGTATTTCTTCTAGTTGGCAGCATGAGGAAAAGTTCTGTAACAATGAGTTCTTAGGGTTTCAGTCAGTGAACAGAAGCATTACAGAATGAATTCGGAAAGAAGCCTGTGGAGTCTTTTTATCCAGTGAGATTGAGAAAAAAGAAAGTCTTGGGAGAAAAAAAAAGTGTAACAATGTAATGGATCTTGGGTACTATAACAGCAGCTAAAGTAACTCAGCAGAAATTTTTGCTAAAATATAACCCAGCCACCCACCCCCCAACAAGTCAGATTGCTTTTCTCACCAAAATTAGTGTTTGCGAGCTGATTCAGATTTTACACGGATGCAAATATGAAGGGATACTATTAGAGGTATTCCATTGCTTCACAGCTGAGTTGATATCAGGATTTGGACTAATGACTTCGTCTTGAAACCCTTCTTGTAACTAAGGATACCAGGATTTACTTTTAATCAGGGCTGTAATATGTGAAATTGCACTTCTTGCAATTCTTTTCACTAGTTAACTACATATGTTCAGTATCTGGTTTTACTTTATTATAACAAATGATTCCAAGAGGCGTGTTTTTGTTTTCAAATTCAAACATTGCTTACAGTGAGTATTAAAATGTTACTTGACAGTATTTGGAACCTAGATAAAATATTTTTTTGGCCAGAATGAAGAAGAAGTATATGTTAATAAATCATTACACAAATTAAACTGAAGAGGCTATCTGCATTGTTCTGTATGAGAGAAATTAAGAACTGTAGAGTGGTGTTTTGAGTTCCTTAAAAGTGTAGTATTCTGCAAAGTCTGGTAGCTGTATGAAAACATTTAGTCCTCATACATGTACTATTCTTTTCAGAGGGAATTGGATTAGGCCCTTTGTGACCAATTCTGCTTATTTACACTCTCAAATACTGTTTAGCTTTAACACATTGTATGCATAAAGGAGAATCAGGAATTCAGCCCAATCTTCCCTAAATTCTTCCTAGGCTATTTTAGATTAAACCCTTATTTCTCCAGTTACAGTATAAAGGATGATTTCATTGTCATTAAAGATCACCTCTTTTCCTGTTTTCATATTCTTCTCCCTGTTATTATTCTTCTCATCGAAGTCTCCTTTCTAGTCTTAATGAACACTCTGAGAGTTTCATTAAGAAAAATGAGGAGTTAAACATTTTATATTTCCCTAATCACAACCCTGTCATTATCATCACCAAAAGCCAGAACAGGTTAAGAATGACAGAATTACATGAAAGGTAAAAAGGACACCACCAAAGTGATTTTGTGATCACAGTCACTTAGAATAATACCCTGAATGTTGGCATGGCAATCTAATTGCATACTAAAGCCTACTGTGTAAATTCAGCTAGCAGTTGCATTACATGCTGCTGATGCCCAGGTACTTCCGTCACAATTAAGAAAAATATGAACAGAAATTTGGAAAAATCTCCAAATGTTATTATGGAATAATTCATGCAACTCATCAGTGTGGCAGTTCTCAATTTAATTCGGTGTTTCTGAAACAGAAAGCCACAGTGACTCAATTCTAAAAGAAAAAGTAGCCTAGAAAAAAAAAAACATACATTGGCAAATGGAGAGAAGAAAAGAAACGTCAGATACATTTTTATTCTATCACTTTTGACAGTATCGTTTTAAACAGAAAAATAAACTAAATTTTAAAGGCCAAATTCTCTCCTCATTCACATTGAAATAGCTCCAGAATAGTCCTACCAACTTTCATAGAATTACTTCAGATATACACAAATATTAATGGCAGCAGAAGCTGGCTTTTCAAGCCTAGTTGTCTCACAATAGGAATACATCTTAAGAAGTAATATATAAAAGAAAATAGTTTGGTTTTTTTATTACACCAAATTAGATCTGCAGTATCACAGAAAAAGGCTGACTCCTCTTTTGATAACCTACTCTTAGAAAACAGATATGATGAGAGTAAGACAGAAAGCCCAGAACAATCTTTGAATTAAAAATGTGTTCAGTAGACACATTTGGTTTCCTCCCACACCACAGATTTCTTAACATGAAACCTGTATTTCACATAAATTGAGGAGAAGAGGACATGGAAAATTGATCTGAAGGCTAAATGAAATTTCTCCTGCAGTGACCTGCTTGAGGAACAGAAGGAAGGAGAAGGTGGCAGGCTGAGACTGGTGCAACTCAAAGAGCAAACACATTAAGTGACAACCCCAAAAAAGTGTCAGAGGTCTTCCAACAGGAGGTATGTCATTCATATCCATCCCACTCTCTGGAGCCACTCTCTCCCTAGCTATTTCCACTTGATTCACGTTGTTTCTATGTGGACCTGCTGACATGGTCCACCCTGTTTCACTGTTATGACTGTTGTTTCACCTATCCACACTTGTCTCGGCCAGCCTGTTATTCATAATCGCCAGGGCTCCAACCCCACCAGAGAATCCGTTTTGCTTTCCATTAGAGCTCATTTGCCTTGGACAGCCATTAGCAGTTTCTGACAGCTGTTTCTGCATGATGGCCAGCGAGACCTTATTGGAGGCCAGGAAGTCTTTCATGGAGATCATCTCGCCTGAGAGCCGGCGCCCGTCTGTGTCGCTCTCGTTGACAGCATCAGTCTCGATGGAGACGTCCCTCTGGCCGCGCACGTTTCCCGGCATCACCACGTTCCTCCGCGAACGGAATAATTTTCTTTGGCATCTGGTGCAGCACCTGCAGTCCAGCTTCTTTAATATCCAGTTTATGGATTGTTTTATGATAATAGAGATCACATTAAATAAGGAATAGATGCAGCACACTCCCATGAGTATGAAGACAAAATTGCCAAAGCGGTAAAGGCCCTGGCTCTCGTACTTCATGCTCTGGCTACTGACCAGATCACCGAAACCGATGGTGCTGAAGGCCACAAAGCAGAAGTAAAGTGAGTCAAAGTAACTCCACCCTTCAATCGGTGTGTACATTGCAGAGGCACAGCAGGAAATGATGATCGATGCTACACATAAAATCAGCATGACATAGTACACGGAGGGCTTCCAGCCTGCCAGACTGTCCACCTCAGAGGTCCTCGAGCCCCGCCGGCCATTGTGAGGGAGGACCCCTTTCCTCCTCAGCTGTCTTTCGTGGCAGGACTTCATGATGTAGGCTATGACAGTGATCAAGCGCTCCAGGAACAGGTTAAAGAACAAAATGGTCCCTGCACATCCTATAAGGCCATAAAATATCAGAAAAACTTTGCCTCCGACGGTGGCTGGGGTGGTCATGCCAAACCCTGGAAGACAAAACAGAACAGTTGAAAAACAATAAACCTGTAGTTGTCATGTCAGGAGTTTTGTCATATGCAAGACTGACAAAGTGGCAGCAAATCCCTGCTCGGTTCTGGAAAAATGTGAAGACACTCTCTCCCGCTGTTACTCACTGGTGCCTGACCATGTCCCAGCAGTAAGGGGAAGGAAATTCATGACAGCGTTTCCTCCAGAATCAGAATGAAACTAAAAGCAGAAGAAAACACACTGAAAAGAAAAGAGAGTTTAGTGGAGGTCTGAATTTTGGTCAGGTTGCTAGGCTCACTCCACCCCTCTTTGTGCCTTGGATCACTTCCAGGCACCTACTTCCTTCTCCTTGATGCTGTTCTGCACCATGGGTCTGACCCAGGGGTGGCTCTTGCCTTTCAGGAGTCTGTCCTCAACACATCTTTGTAACACAAGGTAAAATTTTTCTGAGACTAACTCAGGTCCTTCCGTAAGTGTGGGTGGCACATCAGCTAGCACCCAGCATCCACCACAGCCTGGCCAGGGAAGCCCAGGCTGGGGGTGCATAGTGGAGGATGCAGCCCCTGACAGGGTCAGCAGCCCCTCGTGGGAGTCACCAGCAGGTGTCAGAATGGCTCAGTGCCTGACCCTGGTGACTGGGTCAGGCAAAAATCAGCATTATTGAACTTTTCCTATTTCTCTGTGTCCCACGCCACAACTCAAGTCTGTATATGAGTTCTAACAAGTCTGCTCTGGTCTCATTCCCTGTTGTGGGCTTTCTCAGATAAGAGGTGCTTCAGTCTTCTCCCAAATGCCTCTGTTCCTAAAGTTCCTGCTAGTAATTTTGCTTTGGTTAAAACTATTGTAAAGACAATCTTGCTTTACTAAGATATTACTAAAGAATAAAAAGCATTTCCAGTGGAAACTGGAATAATACATTTGATAAATATCTTGCTGCTGCTTTATTAGGGTTAATAAGGAATTATATTACTGATCAATTAAGCCAAAACAATCTTGCTGAGAGGACAGAAAAATCATGTTGGACAAGAGACACAGTTATTTGTTTCCCTCTCTTTGCAATTGTGAGATGCTAATTATGAGATAAAGACATTAGGCTCTGGGAAATAAAGGAAATCATATTCAGCATGATAGGATTGTGCTTGGAAGACAGACAACTGGAGTGTGAAGAGATCATGTTTCCAACAGCCCTGAACTGCATTCATCTTCTCTTCACCGGAATCCTGCTACCAGCATGGATTCCTCTCTTACACAGACTCCTGCTCCTGCCTCACACGATTACATGACAGCCCTTGCCTTCACCCCTCTGGCATGACGCCCCCTGAATGAGCCAAGGCCCAAGCATGGGCTCTTAAGCATTGCTGCATCTTTATCTCCATCCACAGACAAACCACAGCACCTAGAGGACCTACAGGAGGCTCAAGCCTCTGCAGCTCTGTGTTGTAGGGAACAGGATATGGCAAGAGACAAACCACACAGACAAAATGTTCTTCATCACAAGAACTTTTTGCCATTGTTCCTCCTGGCACACAAATATATTCTCACTCATTTTCTAACTTCCCCTTCTGCTCCATTACCTGATCACTCTATACTCTTAATTTCTGTGCAGGCTGGTTTACATGTAAATCATGACTTCCACCCTGTGGACAGATCCATAAAGACTGACAGACAAGAGGAACCCCTCTGTAGCTGGTGGGCTCTGCTCAAAGCAGCCCGTGAGGGGGGGGAGGTGGAGAGCTGCCACCTCCCTGTCCCACCCTGGTCTCTGAAGAAGAACATCAGCTGCAGGCTGGGCAGAGCTGGAAAGGTTGGGAGCCTCTGGCACAGGGTGAACAGCCTCAGGGACTGGCATGCACCACTCACAGCATAAAGCAAAAGCCCTGGCAAGAGAATGCAGTTAAAGCTTACGCCTCCAGTGTGGCATACACCTTGGGTCTGCTTCCCACAGGCCCCTCTCAGGATCCTGCTGCTGGTGTCACAGCCAGACCCTGAGTGCCTCAAGTTCATTTGTTTAGTTGACTGGATTTTGTCTCCGAGTTCAGTTCTCCATAGGTAAAAACCCACTAGAAAAGGCTTTAAAAAGGCACCCAAATAGGTACGGCAGGAAACGCAGGGTGAACTATAAATACCAAAAGATGCAGAACATTGATCCAGAGATGCAGTGAGCCCCTGAGTGTGACTGTCCCTTGCCAGCATCTCTCCTTCAGGAGAGGCACTCTTTTTTACCTCCTGAAGAAAATGCAGTTTTTGTTCATTTTTCTATTTACAAATCTCAGTATATAGCAATCAATATCTAACATTTCCTAAGAAACACTAAAATGGAAAACCTGAAAGCAGTATAAAGATACTAACTTGACAAGTATTTTCCTTTAAAGATCATTTGCCAAAAATGAGCTACAAACTTTTAGTCTCAGAAATTATTTCAGTTCTATAAAAAATGCCTTGTATTTCCACGTATTGGGCCACATTACGGCTAGTTAACTTTCACCATCACCATATTGTACCTGGAATTAATATGGTATGCTGTATCACGAACTGGGACTTGTTTGACAGTAAGCACATTTTTCTCCAAATAGACTCCTGGGGTGTTTGAAATATTCAAAAATCCAAGCAAGTTTGATTGTTTCAGCCAAGAAATACAGGAGGACAAAATTATAAAAGGATGAAACAGTTGAAATGAAAAAATGTTTTCATTTTTATGAAAAAAACTTTCATTTCAAAATATCAATCACCTTTTGATTAAAAAAATTTCAGTTTGAAGTAAAAATAATTAAAAAAAATTATTTGAAAAGTCTTTCAGAGTTTTAAAGGCTTCATCACCTTAAAATGGAATGCAACATTTCACTAATGGTCAAATGAAAAATATCAAAAATGTGATTAGATTTTGTCCTTTTGAAAGACCTAAAACCAAATTTTTTTCAACACAACTTCTGGTTAAGTTTTTGTCTTAATTTTTCCTTCTGGCTATCAAATCAGGAAAGGACTGCTCATTAATCTCTACTAAATAGTGATTTCTTTTTTTAAAAAAAAAAAAAACAAAACTTTTATAAAACAGCCCTGCAAACACTGCCTGGAAGTAAATGGTTATCTTGGTATAATCTGCCTCTTTTTTCCTCTAAATATGTGTAAGGAAAAGTGTGGTTCATTCATGAACAAAAAGACATGTCAACAGGATTCATTCTTGTTAAAGTAGTATTAGTGATGATCTTGTGCAGTACAAACACAGAAGATCTATGGATAAATTAATTCCTTCACGAGGTCAGTGAACTAAACTGCCTGTTAAGTTCAGCCTAAACAGTTCACTGAAGTGAACACTAAAACTGCCCTCTAACCTAATGACACCAAAGTAAGCCTGTTGCCTGTGTTCTGGGTTCATACAATTTACTTGGGCATCCGATGAGCTGTGAGCTGTTCTCTCTGAAAGCAAAGACAACACTTAGTACAGCAATGTCTGTCCTGGGCGCAGGTATCTCCATACATCCCCTCATCATCCTGGACCTGGTCAGGGCTTGTGGTGGCCCTTTTGTGGGGAGGGACATGAGCAAAGGCTGGCACAGAGCCAGGTGATGTCTCCACGTGAACATGGGACACACCCACACTTGGCAAGTGACTAAAGAACATGGATTCTCTACTTTGCTTGTAAACTGCCTTTTTAATCTTCCATTATAGAAAAGGAGAATAGACTCTGAGGTGCCACCAAAGTGTTTAAAAACTGAAATACTGTAGAAATTTTTTTTTAATTTTTTTTTTGCAAAAATGTAATGTGAATAAATGGCTGGCAGGTCTCTGCATAGCAGCAGAGGCTTTTTCTGACATGGCACATGAGACGTTGCCTACCTGACAAACTGAACCACAGAAGAACAAGCCATAGGGTATTTGAATTATTCTTGATATTCTTAATTGAGGCAGCATTTTTAATCCAAAATATTTAATTTTACAGTTGAAATGTGTTGGTTTGAAATCTTGGCAGAATGGTAAGACACCTATTGCTCTGCTTAGTGTCTTTTTTCAGCCCCTGCACCATCCCAGGGGAATCATGTTTCCCCTGTTTCGTGTGACAATACCCCAGAACTGGGCCAGCAGCCCCCATTTCTATGCCTGTGACCTGTATAGGAAAAACTACGCTTGAACTGTCTTCTTTTTGTAACAGAAAATACCACCGTACAAACAGCAGACTTTTAATTTCCAGTCCTTTAAAATACCAATCAAAGTCCTTGCAACTTTGGTGATCCCTGCTGGTGCTATGGAAAAGACTGTACATAGAGACCTGCCAGTTCATTATTGCTGTCTCTTTGAGATAGCTAAGAGTACTTACTCTAAGAGTACTTACCTACTGTAATTATAGGATCAGGTTTCTATAGGTTCACAAACTGGACCTCCACACCTTTCATAGCTACAAGTCATGTTTATCGGAAAATACTGCTCTCGGTACCACCGCTGACAAACCAACCATCCAAATAAATGCTACAATTGTGTAATTAAGCCTTCCTAGTTACTTGGCTTTTCTTATATCAAAAATGATAGGTTTAGAAGCAATTGCTTATTTTGGCTTTCCACCTTCTGCAGGAGGTGGTCATCCACATTCTATATGCCAGCTGAGGGGTGTCAGCTATCCTGGGATTAGAGACATGGGGTACACAGGACTAAGCTGCAAGGACACAGAATCACCATATTGGGTCAGATCACCATCTCTGACAATGAAAGGATATAAGAAGGTGTGAATAGGGAACAAAATAAGAACAGAGAGATCTTTCCCTGGGATATCCTCCCAGCTCACAAAAAACAGCATTTGAGATGCTTTAACAACACCACGTATAATAACTCGATCTTCAATCTTGTCAAATCATCTTTCAAATCATTTATACCAGAGGTCTCCACTAAACCTGAGTCAGTAAGTTCTGCCATGTAATTATGCTTTCTGGAAAAGAAGTCTTTGTCTAACCTGCTGCCTGACAATTCATTTCAGGTGTCTCACTTTTTGCAGTTAGCTGTAGCAATCATCATTCTCCATGTACATTCTTCCTTCACCTTCACCCTTCTGATTGTATAGATTTCTATTATTTCCTTCCTTCTCATTTCTTCCCCAGTCTGAGGAGGTCTGTAAAACATAGTCCCTGGTTTTCAGTCTGCTAAAACATACTTCCGATTAGCCCTTTACCTTTCTTGTTTCTTTTAATAAAGTCTTTCAAAGATAAAGGAGCAGAGTCAGAACTATCTACTGATGTGTTGTGCTTTGCTCTCTGTTTCATAGGAATTTGTTTGTCTGTTTAACTGCTACTGACCACTGAACTGGTATTTTCAGCAATATATCCACAGCAGGTCTTGGCTCCATTGCTCAACATGTGATGGCTGTCCTGGAGCTCTTCAATGTC